TGGTTACCACTTAGACAAGCAAGTGTAAATACTAGATTAAAATGAGCTCCGATGAAACATAAAAACACTTTATAGTTAAGGGCTTAAAGTTGTCCACGAATAAAAAAAAACAACAAAAAACGGAAACCGTATTACTTAGTTAAACGTGTAATATTTAGAAAACATATATTTAATTACATAATGTTGTTAATAAGTTCCCATGGGAGATAATACTTAAAATAAAAATTGATTAAAAATCTTGCCCAATTTCATGTGTCCAAAACAAACAACATTATATTCAGTCCATTTTATTTATCTCTTCAACGCATTGAGTAAATCCAGTTAGCAGCCATATTGCTTTATTTCTAAAACAATGGAATTTATCTTAAATGATGTAACGTTAATCATACCTTAAATAATTAAATGGCGACATAGTATATCACTCTGAATCATGACATTTCCTCATTATGAATTGCTTTCAATTTTAATTTCAGTGGCTAGTAGACCATTAATTTTAGGATAGAACACTTTTTATGGAGTCATTGGCTAGATAAACGCCAAATAATAACGGTTATCGAGCCAATTTCAGACCAGTACAAGAGCCAAAAATAAAAAAAATGGGACTTTTTTTATAATTATGTTCACAAGTTATAATAAAACACCTTTTTCCAATGTTAAAATAGTATTTTCATTTGAAAACATTCTTGATTTTTCCAAAAATTACTATCAATCCGACGAGTGCTAGAGCTGGAGAAATTGAATAATATTGAGTATTCGTGGCTAGGTAAACATAGATGACCGTACCAAGAAATTCCACAAATGTCGCCTTCGGTAAATTGGACCAATTGTTCGCCTCAGACGATGCCTCCGGTCTTACGTCCACAATAACTTCGTTGTTATTGACTACATTCGCTGTCTCTCTTCCGTCATTTCAAACCCTCAATTACTCGTCATAATTGTAATGAAATACCAGTATTCGAAACAACTGATTCATATTAAAACAGTAGACGATATTTCAAACTTTATCTACAATTCTACACTTTGATATTCACTAAATATTTACAAAACCCATTAATACCGTTATAAGAGTCTGATAAATATAGTTTTTGGAAAGTGTAGTTTTTCGAGAAAAAAAAGGTGGTAAACACGTGAACAATAAGACCTCATTATTTGTCTCACAACTTTAAAAAAAATTTGGCGTTTATAAATATTCAAAATTCTCAAACAATAATCGAGCAAGATATGATCATGTACCTGTCCTTAGTCAGAAATTTCGTCAGAGATTGAAATTTTCTATTGTCCAATCCTGTATGCTGACTTCCAGGTGTCTTTCGTCTTTATTATTCTTTCGGCTTCTGGCTTATTAACGTAAACCATACATCTCCTTTTTTGTTATGTTCCTATATCCCAAGTGGGAGTGCTCCAATATATAACGGAGGATCTGTACAGAACAGAATATGGTTTTGGTGCATCTGAGTTCATCAAGGGGTTTAAGTTGTTGCTCATTTTTTGGTGTTTGCCATTATGTTGTCTTCCCTCTACGACTTTGATGTCTTGTTAACCCAAAGAGCGCATGGTATTTTTTCTCTCGTTTTTTCAAAATTGTTACAATTCACTTTGATATCATTTATAGTATTTATCAAAAAGATTTTAATTTTTCTCCAAAAACATTAGCCACACTATGGACATAAGTTTTAAATATATTTTTAGCTTTTAAACAGTTTTCTTTTCTGTTCTTTAAGATTCATTACTGTTGAGGTAACAAAAAGCCTTATGTGTTTTATATCATATTAAGTTAAAAGAAAAAGACCAGAGCCAATAAATATATTGTCTGTCAAACGGTATTAAACTAAAATGCAGCAAATTACTGATTCAAAGTATGAGAAACTCTTCGGCAACTTTGACCAAAGGTGTATGTTTTTATTTTGTATTCATTGTTCAAATGCATATGTTCTTATCTGTAAACCTCTCTCGGTATCTGTAGTTGAGTGCATTCTCCTCTATATTTTTTTTTTATATTTTGTATCTTATTCTGGATTTCTACTCCCATTTGTTATCTAGTATATCACGTTATACATAATTTGAATTTGTGGACGCATAATATTCTAAAATATAAAGATGTCTAAAGTGGAAAATCCATAAGCCCTATATATGGAAATCCATTGTTTGTGCATTTAACATAAATTGTTTTTGTGGACGTTTATTGTTTTAAAATATAAAAATGTCCTTTTCAAAGTGGAAAATCAATAAGGCCTTAATATAGCCATATTTTGGAAATCCACGAAAACAATTCGTTTGTATTTTAGGTTAAAAGGCACAATAGATTATCGAAATAGTTTAAAATTATACGTTCATTTTCTTATTATTATTCAGTTTTAAGTTTATACAAGATAATATAACTAAAATACATCAGTATAAATGACATTTAATAGTAGTCATAATTTTTTTTATAAACAAAACCTTAAGTCATAATTAATGTTGCACACAATAAATTTTAATGTTTAGTTTGCAGCAATGCGGTCTACTCATGATTCAAAAGCATAAATTTGAATTTTTCGTGCATCACTTGTATTCTTGTGTTTTAAAATATGGTTACTACATCATAAATGCGACTTTGGAAATCACTTAGACGTCTAATACATATACAATATTTCTTTCGAAGTATATTCTTTCTATGAAACACACGATGTAAACTTGAAATATGAATATTCTTGGAAACATTTGCATTATAGCTGTACAATGTTTAATTCTAGGTCCGCATACTAATAACAACAGTACTATTTGCGTAAGTGTACACAAATTATATAAATTCATGACTTTTATACAAATTAGCAATACAATCCGTGGTAGTGAAACTTTATTACTTTTGAATATCGGTAATAAAATGGATAAATAAATAAACAAAAATGTAAATTGATTATAATGGCTGCATGAGTGGTATTAATACATTTTTTTAAGAATTTGGCTTTCACTTTTCAACAAGTTTGCATTTGAATTTTACGTTTCAAAGTGTTCTATTAAGGTTTACAAGTACTTGACGGAGGGAAAACCAATAGTGAAAATAAACCAATATCTAGCTGTTGGACAGATCCATAACATCCCCATATCTATAATAATATTAACAGTACTCATTATACTGCACCAGATTCGACAATTAATGTCTGTTCAGTGATGCTAGATGCCAAAATATTTAAAAAGTTTATTACAAACGTTTGAAGGTATGGTGTTGTCAGTTTTTCTTCAATTTACGAGTTTTGAATGTCTCCTTGGTATGTTTTGTCTTTTTTTCAGAAGAGCTAATTCCTTGCAACAGTCATTGAATGTTGAAACTTTTGAAATCAATGATAATACCAGACGATCAAAATGGTACGTTCAATACACATTGATCTGTTCGCCATGTAATCTGAAAAATAAATTTGATTATGAAAGCAAGGGAGGTGGGTTGTATTCTCTTTTTGAAACTGTGACGTGAATTGAAAACTGAGCGGAAGCACATGTTTAATTATGACTATAGCCCAATAGATCATATTCTTTAGTATGTTTAAATTTAGGTAATGTAAAAAAATTGAATAGCAAACCGTCAATTATGGACTTATATTTATGATGAAATAAACAAATTTAAAATATTTTGAATGCAATTTATTAATATAATTATTAGATCATTCAATTCTATTATTATCAAACAGTTGTCTTTCTTACCAGACGTGTTAATCTGACACGTGAATATCTTAGAGTGTTTTGTATTGAAACTTCCTATTATATTATTGATAAAAAATATGAGATACTACGTTGACTATTAAAACTCATAAGTCAAAAAGAAACTGACAACATTATCGAAAAAAAAAAAAAAACGAAAAACGACCAAAAGGCAAACATGTTCACAAAACACTACATAAAACTAATGACTGAGTAACACCAACCCCACCCAAAACTTTTACCATTTCAGGTGATCCTGAGGATAAATTTATGCATATCTTTAATACGGAAATGTACATTTGTCCTTGTAGTCACCGTGAGGCCGTTAAATAATTTTTCCTAAACTTATTTTTTACTCTGTCGATCGAAGTGATAATGGGGATGTTATGATTTCATGACTTTTTTTTTTTATCTCGCCACACATTTTAGGAACCTTTTTGCAATAGTTTTAATTTGTAACTTAATGCTTTTATAATTTAGGGAATTTCGTGTTTATGTCAGAGTTTTGATAAATGTCTGGTATATATATTTCTAGCGCTTTAGACTCAGTTCGTTTAATAGCTTGATATATTGTTTATATACTGAAAGATAATTCATAGTTGTAACTGAAACATGTATCGTCAAAAAAGAAATGATACATTGTTTCATATTGGCAACATTTTTGTTACCTTTGATAGACTTATGTTTTAGAACAGACAGCCGACATTCTTTTCTGAACTAACTGTGATAGTCTTCTAGTTATATTCCCTTATTTCCGTGACTTCTTCCTAGGTGTTCTTAGGAATAATAATGATAAGATATGATTATCCTTAAACTTTATGTTCTGTTATACAGATGAACATCATCTCACTGATTTGTTAAAATTTGAGTAATAATACGAATGATACATGTTTTTGAATACCAAAAATATTTACTGCTATATAAATGTGTGAGGAGTGAATCAACACTATTAATAGCTCAATAAGTTTAATCAATATTGGATAAGAATTCTACACCTTCTTGTATTAGGTACTCATCTAAAAAAGAGAACCTGACTCAAGCTATTACGTACTTTTTCGTGAGTAACGATTATAGTCCCCAATATCCGTTACTATTGTCCTCGTTCTTTGTCCGGTTGAAATAATGAAGGTTTGAAATACAACAGTCAACGGATATTAATCCGAAAATAAAAGACCTAGTGATTCACAACACTAGTTTTGTTTCCTTTTTAAATATTTCAATTAAGCACCTCATGCGCATTGAAATATATACTCCACGTTAGATTTGGATCATATGATATTTTCTTTCAATGTGATTGTCTATTGTTATTGTTATTAGAAAAAAATGTGTTGAGAAAAAAAGTCTTGTTTTTGTGAACTTTGATATACATAAAGTTGTTTGTGGCAATCTTCAAGATCTTCCTTTACTAAAGTACATTTTTACTCATGTTGATTCATACTGATTAGATTTTCAAAATGTCGAATAGAATACAAATTACAAATCCGGGGTTTGACAATGCTGACCAGGAACGATGTGCTGGCAATGAAGTCCAAATTGATATAGGCAATGATATTTCTAGACAAAGATCAAGAAATGAGGATGAACCAGTAATAAGTGACCACATTGTTAAAGGGAATTTATACCAAGCATTGTTTGTAGAATTTCTTGGTACATCAATATACGTATTTATAGCTACAATTCCTTATTATGATTCATCAGCTCCAGGAATGGCGCTTATCGCGCTGATAGCATGTTTTGGCAAAATCAGGTAAGAAATAAATACGTGAATTAAAATTTCAATTACTAGCATTCCGTAAATAAAGGTTGTAAAAAGAACATTTTGTGTATAAGAATTTTTGTGAGATGAGAAGCACAGTGGTCGAAATGAATTTCACCAGAAAATTATTATCGATTTATCTTTTTTTCTTACCTTTAAAAAAAGTAGATTCGTTTCAATTTATTTTCAAAAAACTTTACTGAGTTACGAAGGCGAAGGCAAGGTTAGGCAGTATTTTAATATCATTTTGAACGCCCAAACCAAAAACATTAAAAGCCCAGGATGTATAAGACTTAAATATTCTATGGGACAAAAAATACTTTAACATAATTGTCAAATGTCGATTAGGCCAATTTTCCTCTTAGGAAGTTGGAAACTAAGTTTTCTAATAATTGCTTAATATATCAACGGAGAATTAAAGAAAGGTAGTTATAAATCATGTCCGTGCCAACGTACTTACTTCTAAGCTTTTCCGATCTGTTTTGGGATTCTTAAAAGACATAAAAAAGTGAACCAACTTTTAGTACTATACCGTTAGCTAAAAGCTATAGATAAAAGGTTTTTTACTAACAGTATTACTTGATTTTGCTATAGATCAAAAACCTTTGGTAGAGCCTGGTTCGAAGGACTTACAAAAAAACAGCTATTTTATGAAACATCTGGAATGATTTAGGTCTTTACTTGGTCAAAGATCATCAGCAACGCACAGCTAGTTGTTTAGATTAACGGTAAAGCTTCAAATCAGGCGATATGATGGCAGAATTGTGTTTGGGTCCTCTACTATTTGTTGACATTCTTATTTAACAACGAACTTCCTTCGTAACTTTTGTTTTTCTTGAGTCTGAATAAACTGTATATATAATTCGGGTTTTAGTGATTCTACCGGCTTGTCAATCTCATCGTTTGTGCAGTGTACCTTGCAGCTATTTGTTCAGTGATCTGCTTGTCCACTGCTTTATAATAATGCATTTCATTTACCTGATAGAGTGTCATAAGAAAATTACACAGTGCATATGTAGCTGTATCTAGGTGTCCATTTACCATTCCTATTGGTTAACATTGTCCATGCACCTTTCCAATAGTTGCTTTATATAACACAGAACAACCGAACTTCATTCGTATTTCCTGACGATCTGTTTCAGAGAATCTTCCTGTTTGCAACCGTCACAGCTGTCAATTCAATCAATTATCAGTGTATATTTAAATATTTTTCTAGAGTGCTTACTTTGTCAGCTAGGTCTTCCTAACATCTACCTGGTAAATCTGGTATCGATAAAAGGTCTATTAGATCAGCTCATTTCAGCAAGGCGTTAATCCCTTTGTCCGTATAGTACGCTTGGATATATATTGTTTGACTTTTGAGGTATCATGTGAAATTAATTTGTTTTTCGGAATTTAGAAAACCTCAAAGGGCACATAGCCCCTAGGAGCGACAAGTCCCTATTTTTACAGCACAATGATATAATTTGGAATTCCAGTTCTAACAAACATTTGAAGACGCGTTAGGTATACATCTTTCTTAAAAAAAGCAACAATATTCTGCAAATTTGCAACTTGTCCAAAAGCTTTTTACAGGAATTTTGTTTTTTAATATCCATAATTGTGTTCCTCGACTTGAAGTGCATTAACGATATTAACCTAATTGTAATTTGCGTTATACTAAACTGTTTCTATTGAAGGACAACCTCTTCAAAGTTATCTTAAAGGCTTTCTTACTCGATGACAAAATCATCTTACTTCGAACTGAATCTTCCGCACTAGGTGTGTCTCAAACTTGTGTTTAAACCACCAGTATTTTTTTTTGATTTTGTGATAGTAAGATCTTCACTTCAATGTCTAGATCGATTTATTGTAAGCACTCTGAAAAACGATTAAATTTTGCGACATTCGTTTTTAGATTTAACAACCATTTAGTCTATGCCACTACTAGTGAACAATTCGTTCCAGAAGATTATAGAAGCCCAGCAGATAGTACTTCTATGCTTAGCTGAATTGAAATATTATTGAAAAATCGTTTAGTTGTTTTACTGATAATTAAATTTTAATTTTGTTTTTAGAAATACTTCTAAGGTATTCTAGTCCAATGCATAGTCGGCCTTAGCCAAAGTTTATAAAACTTTTTTGTTACATGTATTTGTTTTTCAATGCTCGTCAATTTACTTATTGATTTTGCCTTCAAACTATTTTCAGTCGAGAGTCACTGATGATCCTTTTGTAGACAAAACGCACGTCTGGCTTAGAAATAATATCCCAGGTATCTTTGGAGACTTTTTGAAAAAAATATCAGTGAATAACATGTTTTGCTCTACAGCATTCAGTCAAAACTTCATTAAATCCTTTTTTATCAGAATTGTAAGTTACGTTGCGTGTACGGTCATGAAAGTAAAAACGAATTTGGATATACTGTTGTATATTCTTTATTATGACCCCTCCCAACGGAATCTCCTTTACTTTCAAGGACTCGATGATCTTAAACAAAGCATAACATGTATTCTATACTGTAAATTTCTTTTTTAGAATAACTAAGATAGGTATCGTAATGTTTATATGAATGGATTGAAGAAAAAGTTCATTCTTTAATGGTTAACAATATTTGAAAATGGACTTTCTGTTCAAGAATAGTAACACGAGTAAAGAAAGTTCTGATGTTGACTGGTACTCGACTCGTTCAATTGGGTCAATATTCGTAATTGATTTTCCATAGGCGGTAATGGTAACGTTTTCTTCTGTAGCTCAGTTCATATTGTAAACTTGGATACGTATGATGGCTCGTTTTGAAGCTGAGACATTTTCACATATGTGGTTAATTTTTCGGGGTACGAAGTGAGATTAATTTTTCCGTAAACTAGCATACCCCGAAAGTCCTTTCGTGATGCGACTCCTTGTGGTAAAAAGAAAATTTCTTTTTTCACACAATAAGTTCTTTGAAAATGTAATACTTTGAATACATTTAATAGCTCCATAGTTTTTACACATTTATTCTATGGTCCTCTACTTTCCAAATCAACATAAATAGTTAAGTTCAGTCACTTGTTAAAAATAGAAACATGTCCAATATCACAACACAGAGATTTTTTGTTTACGCACAACTTTTGAGTTCCTAAATTAGAGGCGCATCAGGGATATTGACCAAATTGAAATAGTTAAATATAAATATGATCCAATCACAATTTCAAGTAGAAAAATATAATGTTTTATTGCAGTGGTGGTCATTTTAATCCGGCTGTTACAATAGGCGTCAGTCTATGTGGACGTTTGTCTTTACAAGCAACCATATTATATCCTGTTGTCCAAATAGTTGGTGGTTTACTTGGGGCGGCACTTACAAGGGTAAGTATATGGTTAATTAACTTTATCCCTAAAATCAACAAAAACAACAACAATCTTAATACATCTTTTTCGATTTCATACTTTCTCAAAATCCAGGAAAATAGACCGTTCCGTGGGCATGTTTTGATTTAATTACAGTTCATCTGTTCATATATGTAGTTTTCTAACATATTCATTGAACGAGTGTAAATTTTGTTAGCATGAAAAAAGTAGAATATATCAGTATTTAAGAGAAAATTTTAAAATTAAGTCATCTCGTCCTCGAATAGGTAGCGGCAGGTTTGCATTTGTTAATGAATGTTTGTTTTATTCGTTAGAAATCCTCACAAAAGCGAGTTTCACTTTGATTTGCTGAGCAATTTTTTCGAAACAAACGCAATATGTTGATACATTCATCTCCACATATATGAAACAAATATGAATACTAATGTGGAGATATTGTCAATGATAAAAGGACCAAGCAACGAAATACAAGTTATAAGAAGTCGCAAGCTCTCAATCATCTTGGGTCTATAAAAGTGGCAATATATGTGAATGAAAATAAATCACCAACAATACCAGAGCGTTTCGTGTATACATTTAGTAAAGCACTCTTTTATGTGTATTTTGTAGACGAAACGCGTGGATTTGCGTACCCAAATATATGCCTGGTATCTTAGATACTGATGTAAACATAAAACATGTACATTTTTTAATACGTGTTCTGACTTCGAAAAGAAAGGGGAAATAACAACAAATAAAAATAAAAAACAATTTTTATCAATATTTTATATATCGTTCAATCGGAGGGTGTTAACGCCTGGTGCAGTTTTTAAAAGTCTAGAAGGAGATTTTCAAATTCGTATCATGAACAAATTACCTTATTATAAATTTTGTTATTGTTGACCTATTGAAATTTAATTGAATCTGCTCAGTTTTCTTTTAAGAGGTTTGTTTTCTAGAAAAAAATATTATATAGTTGCATTCAAAGAGAGTTCATAATTTATTCTAAGGGCACAACTCACTTACGTATTATCCCCTTTAAACTTCTCCTGAGCATGTAAAAAAAAATACAAGATAGAAAACAGGATAAAATATGTTAGCGATAACTAGTAATTGGTCCACTTGGAATTTGGTTTTAATTGATGGAGTTTTAGCATTCAATTCCTGAACCCTTTTTTTACCACATCACTTATACTTTACAGTTCCTGTGCAACATACATGTACATATCCTCTGTTCTAAAAGTTTGCATGGTCAGGTGAATTATTTGATTACTGAAAAGCCGTTCGAGTGATATAAGTAACAACATGTAAAAAAAGAAATGGCTGTCCGCTACTTTGAACGATTTCGCAACATACAAATAATATTTGACTGCAGTTTAAAAATTATTAGCTCTATATTTTTTTTAGAATGTTATATGATCTAGCCGCGTTTTAGAATGGCTAATCAAAAATAAGATTTTATTCCCGATGTCTCTCTACTTTGTCGTTAAAATCGAAATTTTACAAAAAATTGAAAAATATACATAAATATTGTATTTGCTTCGGTGCTTACCGAGAATGAATACATGACCTTAATTTGTGGTATGGTAAATAAATGGTAGTCAAAACTAATCAAAATTCAAACGAAATAAATATTTCTCTATTGTAATGTCAACATTTCATTTCGCTCATCTACTGAATTTTCATTCCTTGTTAGAAAATCATCACAAATTAAAGTTGTTTCTTGAATTACTACTCACTTTGACTGGTTATTGAAAGCTTCTCATTTATACCTGATAATTATGACTAAATAAAATGAACGAATTGTCATATACAGTTACTTTTTGCCAAAGTTACCACTCTTAGATACGATCAATTGATATGTATCACCTCTATGTAATTTTAGTATAATTCAAATGTCTAAATAAACTATGCAAAACATTCAAATCCAAAGAACCATGATTGACGTTTCAGGGCCAAAAAACCTCGGTTAAAATGAAATCGTTATACAATCAGCGGTTCACCTTAAACTGTCATAGATACAAAATTAAACAAGTGAAATATGTAAAAGTTTCTCAGCTTAACAATGACGAGGTTTATGGGGCTATACAATCACCATGGAAAAGACAAATATTAAATATCAATTCAATTGCTTACCAAATAGCGTTGACCCTTCTCTAGCAGTTCCCCTTAAATTGACCGAATCGTAAACTTTGACAGGTAAACCTGAGACTACTATAACTGTGTTAAAGAAGTCTCAGGGTAAACTAAGGAAAAGTTTTTTTTCAAAGTCAATATAGCATGACTGAGTAGGTAGTGCCAAATAATCTCTATGGAATTGAGATGTACAAATATTGATACAACTGCATACCAAATAGCATTGAACTATAACTAGTAATTCCACTTCCACTGATCTAATCTAATGATCTTATCACAAACTAATAACTTGTTGACGCAGCCGCCGCTAGAAACAGCAAGCCTTAGTCTCATTTTTGTTACTTCTTCGAGACGAGACAAAATATGGATCATAGATGTCTGTCGTTATTACTACATTTGATTATAGAACTGTGTTCCTCTATTAATTGTTTATAGTATTGTAGGCTGTGCAACCACCTCGTGCATATATTGACAATGAATATTTCTTTGAAAATGGCATCACCGTGTTACGAAAGGACGTTAAACCTGGATGGGCTCTGTTATGTGAAGGATTGATAACATTCTTCCTTGTGCTTACTTATCTGATGTGTACACTGGAAAAACAGAAAACCAATTGGGTGCTGTCATCATTGGCAATTGGATTTATTGCCCAAGCCAATATAATTGCTGCGTAAGTTAAATTGTTATAACCATCAAGTTATAATCAACTGCAGTACATATACTTTGAACTGATGTATAATAAAAACCGCTCTACTAAAAAAGTTGTACGTATATCAAAACATTTGAAAACTGATTTGAAAAAACCCCAGGCTATTCTAATATATAGACATAAGAAGATGTGGTATGAGTGCCAATGAGACAACTCTCCATCCAAGTCACAATTTGTAACAGTAAACCATTATAGGTCAAAATACGGCCTTCAACACGGAGCATTGGCTCACACCGAACAGCAAGCTATAAAGGGCCACAAAAATGACTAGTGTAAAACCATTCAAACAGGAAAACCAACGGTATAATCTATAAAAAAAAACGAGAAACACCTATGAACCAAATCAACAAACGACAACCACTGAACATCAGGTTCCTGACTTAGGACAGGTGCAAGCAAATGCAGCGGGTTTAAAAAAGAGGGACGAAAGATACCAGAGGGACAGTCAAACTCACAGATCGAAAACAAACTGACAACGCCATGGCCAAAAACAAAAAGACAAACAGACAAATAACAGCACAGACGACACAACAAAGAAAACTAAAGACTAAGCAACACGAACCCCACAAAAAACTGGGGGTGATCTCAGGTGCTCCGGAAGGGTGAGCAGATCCTGCTCCACATGTGGCACCCGTCGTGTTGCTTATGTTATTACAAATCCGGTAAATAGTATAATTCGGTAAGTCACATTCGTGAAAAAGGAAGGGTATTGTAGTTACGACATAAGGAACATATCCGATATCATCTGTGAAACGGTTATTCCATTACGGTCAACCAACTCGTGATGGCGTCCGTAAAATTTACGAAGTTTAAACGTTTTAAAAGGTGGAAAATGAGGACTTGCATTATATAAGATGGTTTTCACATACTGGCCATGAAAAAAAATAGGTAATACATAACTTGGGTTCGTCTAACATTTAAATGATTTCAAGAAGATTTGTTAGCCAATTGATTATTTTTTTCAAATAACAAATCAATGGATAGGCCTGGGTATGTTTATTAAATGGATTATTTTATAACATGTCGACAACAATTTTATTTGTGTCACTCCACACAAGAATTACAAAATTCTAATTTCTGTTATCGAAAAATATTATGTAGAATGAAAAAAAGTACATGTATTTACTTGTTGAAAACAAAAACAAAACATATACTTTATAATCAGGAGATATAACGTAAAGAACAAGTCTGTGTATTGTTATCTCTTATTTTATTACAGTGGACATTTTATCCAGGCTAAGAGAAAGAAGAAGATTAAGCTTGAAAGCAATATATTTCTCTCTATGAAGGTTTCAAAATGTATCTTTGCGTTTTGAATGTCTGCTAAAATTATTTGTTTTCTTAGTTGTTACTTTTTTACATGTTCATATGATATGTTAGATTCTATAGTAATGCACACGATGAGAATATTTATCTGTAATTTTCAGCCATAATTCATGTATATATATATATATATACTCATTGATTAGTGGTTTGTTCTAATTTCCACGATAGTTGCAGCCAATTAATGATCAAACTATAGCCCTTTTGATAGTGTTTGATTAAGTAGAAATGCAAGGCCTAATTTTGCCTGAAAAGAAGTGACAGATGTAATGTTCAAGCATCAAATTCATATACCGATATAAAAATAGATTTGTATACATCTGAATAAAAGGAGATCTTACAACCCAACGACAAGAATATGCAAGACATCAACGAGGCAACACACAATCTTCAAAAACTGAAATGATAGGTGTCTAGTTTTCAAAGTAGTCAATGAATTTGTACTGGTAATTTTTTGGATTAGCCAATTGCCTTTTTTATTAGAATTTGTGTGTACAAAATTATCCAAAAATTTACTAAGTTTCAGATAATATAACAAAAGGTCATCTAAAACGTTTTAGTTTGCTTTCATGACGTATATTTAGAATGTTTTTGTTTTCCTTACTTGGTAGAGACTTTATAACTAGAGCGTCTATGAACCCAGCAAGGAGTTTTGGACCTGCTGTATGTACGTCAGTATTCACGAAGAACGTATGGAAACATCATTATGTTTACTGGGTAGGACCAATGGCTGGGTCAGCAATTGCTGCTTTTGCTTGGAGGTAAATCATGTTTGAATTGATCTTCTTAGTTTATCCCTTTTTGAATATCAAATTGAAAAGTTCAGTTCTCACAGAAGAAATATTTCGTTAATATTTCTCTGAAATTATGAAATTATTCTGTCCGGGATAAACAGGCAAACTTCAATACTATTAATACATTGAAGTGAAATTCCATCTCAAAATGGTATGAATTAATTAGATTATTTCCTCTTTCTGTGAAAGTGTAAAAGTTATTTATCAGTTTCATTATGTAAATGTGAATTTTAATAATTCTTACATACAGTTGTTATCATATTTTGTCTTTTCAGGTGTATACATTGTCAGTGGAGTTGTTGTTTTCGACCAAAATGACATAGTTTTTTCGACAATTGAAATGTGTCAGTTACTTTGTCGTAGATAAAACCATTTCGCTAATGAATACATTAAAAAATCAACTTAAGTCTTTCAAAATACTTACAACATGCCAAAGTGATCCCATGCAATTTATGTTATAGTACTAATAATCACATTATAATATTCAAACCGTTTTCACTACTCAGAAACTGGACGTAAATGAATTCCTCAATAAAAAAAAGTTGCAATGCTCCGATTAATGTTATTTATATATCCCATTTTTTTTTATCCAGGATTAAAAAAAACGACAGCTATTTTTAGTATTATACCACTGGAAACAAGTATAAGTTTAGCTTCTTTTATGACCCGCTTTTACCAAAAAATAAACATTATGATCGTCTTAACCTCGGAAAGCAATTGACTTGACTGAAAAATTGGCATTCTTGATCAGAACTTTACTGTGTGCTCTCGTCTAAAAACCAACATCGATGTAATTACTACAAGTTAAGTAATATATATAAATATAAAGTGAAAAAAAACTTTATTAGATTTACTGTAATATACACGCGTTTACCTAAGTAGATTTATATTAAATGTGTTGCGCTTTATTTAAGAATTGAATGCTTCTTTTTATAATTTTCTTGGGGCGTAAAAGCGTTGACCGAAGCACATTTTCTAACTAAAACTAATTTTTAATCCCTTAACGAACCGTACATTGTGAAGAAAAGTGACGTGACATAAAATCGACATTGCATGAAATATCACTTTTTTTTACTATGTTTGGTAGATAAAGACTTCAGAAATGTTCTGTCTGCACTGAGCAGTATAAATTCTTTTATCCTGCAATCAGCTAACTATTGTTCAAATAACAGGTCACAAATAAACCTTTTCTTTATTTGTACTTGGCGAGCTTCCCTTTTCATCCTGTTCCTAAAGCTCGTAAAAATAAATTTTATATTTTCCAACAATACACCTTATCGCTATTTAGTCCATTCCGGAAAAAACAGTCACTTAAACAACTTCCTGTTTGTGTTAAGTGTCGCAAAAATGGATCATCAATAAAGTGATGAGGGAGCAAAAGGTTAAGAAAGTGAACATTTTAAAATTTTTATAGATTTTGATCCAATTTTTTGAAACACAAATTAAAGTCATAAAAATGTCTTGTTTAAAGTGTTTACGGTGGTTTTAACATGTCTCTTTTCACAATACGTTGTTTAAACAGGGACCAAGATAGCATCAACTGGTTTGTGACGTCATGAAAAAGATGTGTAATTTTAAACTTATGCGGAATAGCGATAAGGTGTATGTTCATATATTGTATATTAATCATTATCATAATAGCAGGTGCAGTCATAGCTGTTGTATTTTTCACGGAAATAGATTATGATATTTGAGCGCCTGCCGATTCTACTCAGCCAAACAAAATTATGGATTCTTATGAAGCATACATGTAATGTATTTATCCTAAAAAGTGCACACGCTCAACGCTATTACAGCCATAAAAACTAGAAAACAATCGTTAAATTCTTATAAAATTTCATAGTTCAATGCTTAAACATGAAAATAAAGCTTTTCATTCCTTTATTTTAAGGATTCCTATGAATAATTGTTTTATGTTGCCATTTATAAGAACACGTACAATTGTGTCGTGAATATTGCGTTTCATCTGAGCATTTTATAAGTTAACATATAACACAACTCTTAAACCTCAAGTATGTATGTCATTAAAATAATAGAATCGTCATGAAATATCTAAATCAATTTCAAACCTGATCGTTAGATAATTTCCTTTTTTCGTTGTCTAACTCCCGTTGTCCTCTCCACATTCCTGGCATATCAACATACTTGTATGATAATTGAGCTACATTAGGATTCTTCTCATAAGACACGAATTTCCTACCTTCGCAGTACAAGTTTGGATATTAGTTTTGAAAAAAAAATGTTTTTGCACATATTAACAGTATTTCATGAACAATCTTATTGTTTTAAAATTTACCGTTTTCGAGGAGTATGACCAGACTCCCCAATATTTATTTCAATCGAAAAGTAATCATGATACTAGTAGATAAATACATGTATTTAGACGAAAACTAATAACAATCTTATTGGTTGCACTTTGTAAATACAACTGTTTCTCAAACCACGCCTCTTTTGGGGAGATATATAATATTCATAGATATTTCGTTTTGTTTACGTACTGGTTCCCAGATATGATCTCTATGTTTCATCTCATAGAGACATAACTTGGGAATGTTACCAGTATAAAAATATATTGTTGCGGTGAAAATTGAATTCTGAAGTAGTCAGAAAGTGAAGGTATGGGTAGTACAGAATTTATTATAAGTTTAAACTCTAACAAGTTCGGGGCACATAACTGTTGAAAATATGCCACACAGCCCTATGTTTTGACCTTTTAACTAAATAGTAGTGCATATCAACTTTCAGTTCTCGGATATAATTTTTTACGAAACTTCATGGTAAAAGTGACACAGTTTTAGCCGCAAAGGGAGTTCCTATGGGAAATTGCATTGTCTATATTTACAGAAATGCAACCTATATTGGTTGAAAAAAAGTGAACATACAGAATTTCACCAAATCTGGTTCATCTCAGAGATTTTTTATAATGAAATTAACTCAAATATGGAGTTTTATAAATATTTCATGAAGATTGAGTAAATCCTGGGCCTTAACTATGATGACTCAGCATAAATTCACAGTTTACAATATGCATAGTTTACTTCAAGCCCTGAATGCAAAATAAATTCATAAAATATGCATATTTGTAATTTAAATTGTTTAGAAGTGCTTATATTTACTCTTCGCAGTCATTGAAACTCATAGATTCTTCCTGAATATTGTTGGTGGGGTGTTTTTGACCTGTCTATAACCCAAAAGTAAGCCATAACACCTAAATGTGTTTTTTTTGTGACCGCGGCATAAAAATACAAGCTAGAAATACAAAAATACCTCAATAAAACTAACAACAGTGTGTTCTATCCTAAATATGTACTTGATATTCCATATTGCTTGAAACAGCAGAATAATTTAGGAAATTTGAGGCCCCAGTGGCAAAAAACAGAGAAAAATGCCTACCCCTGGGTCATAAAACAGATGATTTAACCTGTAAATGCTATGATTTTATTATTGTAAAGGTCTTTGTGCTTGGAAGTAATGCAAAAATCAGATGTTAGTATGACAAGCCGTTCTCGTCAAAACTATGAAAAAATACACACTGAGAATTAAAAAAACAAACACACTGAGATTTAAAAACCTAAAAAAAACACACTGAGAAATCAAAATTACACACTGAGATTTTAAAATTACACACTGAGATTTTAAAATTACACACTGAGATTTAAAAAAATGAAAAACACACACTGAGAATTTAAAATTACACACTGAGATTTTAAAAAGACACACTGAGATGAAATAAATTGAAAAACACACACTGAGAATTTAAAATTACACACTGAGATTTTAAAAAGACACACTGAGATGAAATAAATTGAAAAACACACACTGAGAATTGTTAATTACACACTGAGATTTCAAAAATATGTAGTGTAAAAAAAACTTAGAGTATATGCAGTGATTTCTTTAAGGCAATAATTCTGATAAATAAGTATTGTTGTGATAAAAAGTATTTTTAGAGAGTTTTCTATTTGAATAAATGTTAGTATAGGTTGCACTTCGTAAATACAACTGTTTCTCAAACCACGCCTCTTTTGGGGAGATATATAATATTCATAGATATTTCTTTTTGTTTACGTACTGGTTCCCAGATATGATCTCTATGTTTGATCTCATAGAGACATAACTTGGGAATGTTACCAGTATAAAAACATATTGTTGCAGTGAAATTTGAATTCTGAAGTAGGCACAAAGTGAAGGTATGGGTAGTACAGAATTTTAGTATAAGTTTAATCTCTAACAAGTTCGGGGCATATAATTGTTGAAAATATGCCGCACAGCCCTATGTTTTGACCTTTGCATTAAATAGTCGTGCATATCAACTTTCCATTCTAGGATATATTTTTTTACGAAACATCATGGTAAAAGTGGCACAGTATTAGCCGCAAAGGGAGTTCCTATGGGAAATTGCATTTGTATTGTCTATATTTACAGAAATGCAACCTATAAGATAATATATTAAATAACAATTATTAAGTAATTATAAAGCATTTATAAGAGTCTTGTCCTGAACGCACAACTTAAAAGGAAATGTTTCCGACAACATTACATATTGCCACAAGTATATGTATTGAATATTGTAACGCAGCATTAATACTTTGCTGTTAAACGCAATTTTAATCAAAAGAACATTTGGTATTTTGTTTTATAAGTATTACATCGTAGAACATCCTGAATCAAAAAATATTAATTTGTTAATAAAAATAAAAAAGATTCTTCCTACCACCGAAACATTTGAATTTAATTCAGATTTGTCACTGAGTCTTTGATAGCCCGGCATAAAAGTCATAAATATTTTGAGTATGATTATCGTACCAAGACTAAACTCAACCAACCAAACTATGTAATTTGGTGTTTCGAGCACGAATTTTGCACTCCGATTACTTAGTAAAGTTTTATGAATGGAAGGCCTGAACTGACTATACTAATACAAGCCCAAACGAAAAAGAGATAAATTCCCAGATGTTTTGTAGAAAAACATATTTGCGGTAATCACTAGATGCTGCCGGTATTAAGAATTGATGTTTATTTTTCGTAACTTAATTCTCGTTCTAGTGGAAATAAATGCCATCGGCTAATTTTCTTTCGTATGGCTACTTTGCCATTTTCTATCCTACAAAGCTTCTTTGTTTTCAACGATTCTGTATATTTTTAAAAGTAATTTTTTGACATTTGGTTGGTTATTATGCTTGTTAGAAATAATAAAATGTATTTGGCTGCTCGACTTTTGAACATTTATAAGCGACCAATCTCTAAAGCGTGGATCCAACAGTGGACTTTGGGCATACGGGTGATATATGTAAGAAGCCTATTTTTCTATTAACTTTACATACTTAAAATTGTCTTAGTTTTACTTCACACAAAATGTGGGTTCTGGTTTAAAATGTCCTCATTAAGTTTTTGAATGAATTCTGAATTATACCAAAATTGAGGGAGATATTGACCGGTGTTCAACCGTTGTAATTTGGTTAATTGTTTACCAGTAACAATACAACATAATGATGTTATACATACGAGGCTGTGATACTGTAAATTTCGATAAAGATTGGTAAAGTTTCATACAATGGTATATATGTAAAGGAAATTAACATTTGCTATGCAATGTAATGTTGCTTTTCGTCGAGCCTGGGATAGCGAGACACAGAGATCCTATATTCCGTCGTCTTTGCTGGCGTCAGTGGCGTTAAGTTGTGGTTCAGTTTGCGGTTATTTTTTTTTACATCAATAACTTTGTCAAACCTTCATGGAATTTTATGAAATTTGAACAGAAGATTTTTTAAAATAAAAAGACAATATCCAGAGCAAACTAATGATTTTTTTTTTCATTTTTGTCCGTATTGTATTGATATAAGAGTGCACACACCGAAATATCTCGCCTACTTTACTATTCAGTTCTTTTTTCTGCTGATGTGTAGACATTTTGGTGTTAAAGTTTGTTAGATATCAATTACTTTGTCAAACCTTCATAGAATTTTATGAAACTTTGGCAAAATCTTTTTTTATGATTCAGAGATAATGTCTGAAGCATAATTTTAAAAATATATATAATTTATGAACAACTTACATCACTCAGCGAAACTGTATTGAATGTTGAAATTTATAAGCTATATATTTAAAGTATTCATATAAATCGAGGAATACATTGGAAGAATTGTAAACTAACTTGAATATTTCTTATTTTTTCCAAAGAACCTAACGTATTAAAAGTTCTTTTCGGTTGTAGAAGCCGCATATAAGCTACTTCGACTTCCTTAGTACGCATACATACATCGTAGAAGAATGTAAAGAAGTATTATCTTTAGTCTTTTTAAGTATAGTTACGTGGAATTTTTGTTTTTACTATTTTACACATTACAATAAAATTGTTTTATTTGTTATCTATGTATCACTGGTAAATTATGAAGACAAGGATGTCGTTACAACATTTACTCAGTAGTCAATGCAAGATCACATGAAATGAGGTAGAGGTCAGGTGCACATGATTTATAACATACCTTTTTATACGCCCGTTTACGGGACGTATTATGGTATACCGTTGTCCGTCCGTCTGTCCGTCCGTCTGTCCGTCCGTCCGTCCGTCCGTCTGTCCGTCCATCCGTCCGTCCGTCTGTCCGTCCGTCGTCAACATGTCGTACAATAACTCAAAAACGCTTTAACCAATTTTCATGCAACTTCGGTGAATTGTTTATATCTATTGACGTGAGCTCCCTATCGATTTTTATAAATTTTAGATTTTATATATCCGAGTTATGGGGTTTTATTCATTAAAAAGGGGCGATTTTCTAGTTTTCGGACAATAACTCAAAAGCGCTTTGAGCATTTTTCATGAAACTTTGACGAATTATTTATATCTATCAACGTGAGCTCCCTTTTGATTTATATAAATTTTAGAT